GTGATTTCCAATAGGCGGGCCTCCGCCCCATGCCAAACTCACGAAAGGGGGGGGTCTCACGACCTCCCGCTATCAGGGGGCCATCCCTCGACAGCTCTAGTAGTTTTCCTTTCCTCTTTTGTAAGCTTTACTTTTATTAGAATACTCTTCTATATACATTTATGGTATTGAAATACTTTCCGAGTATATGAATGCTTACTTTACATTATGTTCATGTTATACTAAATATACTGCTAGCTTATCTGGGAGATGCTTTGGTGCGGGTATAATGTTTGCTTATGCAATTACTCTATGTCATGACGATGATATTGGAGTAGTATCTGATAGTTTAGACGTGGTGTCTAGATTACGGGATATCATTATTTGGGGTTATATGCTGCGGATGAAAGGTGGGCCGCTGATGGTGACAACTCAGTACGGGTATTCCTCCGTGCTTATATATAATTCTAAGTTAATTCCCTGGGGAGGGTACTCCTCCGTATTTAGCCCCGGTTGTATGGTCATGACGGGCTGTCGTAAGGAACTCGGGCAGTCAGGGGTGGCTTCTCGAAGTACCAGGAGGGCATCGGATAGAGAGTATTAGTTAGTATATCAGATGACTAGAATGTATGTATACTATGAATATTAGAAGTATAGGAATAGATTATCTTTTTCTTTTCTTTCCACTTAGCTTAGATATTTTAGTATGAGAATGAGTAGCTGATGCTTGTGTGTCACTCTACCCTTGGATTATCTTAACCCCTGCTTAGACTTTGATTATCACAAGTAACATATAAATTATTAATCAAGTTCTCTCTACATGATCTTTCCACGGGATAAAATAAATACGATACCCTTGGAATACTCTCGGGTGAAATGCTACAATGGTATATCCGTGTGCTTGCAGATGAACTCTGTAACCATAATATACCAGGAGTATTTCTGCGTCGTTGTTGGGAATTATATTTCTAGTATTGTCGTTAAGAAATACCAACACCACCTAGGACAAAACCACTCTGAATTGGGTCGAGGGGGGTAATTCGTCTGGTATTGAAAGTTCAGGCTGAGCGATGTTTGGTTTTTGGGTTGGGGGGTAATTCTTAATTTTTCCAAAAAAGAATAACCTCATTTTATCAAATTCCAGTGCAATTATTAATCACTCTATTTACTCCAAATGTATTTATTCCTACTTTCGTAAGCTCTGATGCAGTAATTACTTAATATTTTTTTCTTTTGGGACAAATAGAGGAACTAAAAATCAACTTATTCTAAGGATGGATGGAGTATGTCTGACTTAATAATAAAATAAGTCCTCTTTTCTAACATAAGTTAACTTTTTATAGAATAGAGGGATAGGAATAAACCATTTTATTTACCTTCTTATTTAATGAAAAAATTCTACTACATGTACAACAGGAGTTAATTTCTAGTGTTTAAAATATGTCAAACAAAACAAGTTGAATTTGAATTTCGTACATACTCTCAGCCAAAACTATTAAATGAGTTTTATTTGTTGTACCCTTACTGAACTACCTGACAATATTGTTTTTACAGTTTAGTCTTTTTCCCCTCGTCACTAATTTTTTATATAGAACCGCACCAAAAAAAGAAGTATTTTATAACAAGAAAGGTATAATACATGAACATCATGTGATGTTGTCCTTTATTCAGAGAGAACTACTACGTTTTACTATACTCCCTCCGTTAAAAAAAATGCAAACTCTATCAATGTATTTAGACATGATGTATGTCCAGATACATAGCTAGCTAAATTTTGCCTATTCTTGGGATGGAGGGAGTATTAAGCAATGTTCAAGTGAGCAACATAGTGTGAAAATTTCACTTTTTCTATGCGCATATTTCCTAAACTGCTAAATGGTATTTTTCTTTTTGAAAAAATAATCTATAGGGAAGTTTTTTTAAAAAATAGATTAATTTATTTTTAAGTTTAAAATAATTAATACTTAATTAATCATGTGCTAATGACCCACTTCGTTATGTGTATCTTAACAATCTTTTCCGATCCGCTCCTTTAAATACAATCCGTCTATTCTGCTTGAACAACTTAGGCCCCTAAACTAACTACTCCCTCTATCCCAAATATTATCCCAAATATAATAACTTGTATTCAAAATATAACAAGTTCTCTACGTATATTATCTTCTTAACCAATAAAAAATATAATAACTTGTATTCAAAATATAACAAGTTCTCTACGTATATTATCTTCTTAACCAATCATATCCTTCCACCATTTAAATTCTCCATCTGCTTACATATACCATGTATGGAACCTAGGTATTATGACACTCATATTTACCAGGTCTAATACCATTATACCAAGGTATCACGCCCATTGATGCCGCAACGACGGTTGCAGATACATCCTGGAGCCTCTCACTGGCTGCACGGTTTAACACGATGTGATACCAACCGATATCAGCGTTGGTACTTATGAATATTAGCATGATACCGGGTTTCGACTAATACCAATTGGTATTAGATCCCGTACCAATGGTATCGTATGGTACCGATATACTTCCTCCGTTTCAGATTATAAAATATTTTAACTTTGGTCAAAGTCAAACTATTTCAAATTTAACTAATTTTATAGACAAATATAGTAATATTTATAATACTAAATTAGTTTCATTAAATCAATAATTGAATATATTTTCATAATAAATTTGTTTGAAAATGTTATTATTATTTTCTTCAAACTTAGTCAAACTTAAAACAGTTTGATTTTGACCAAAACCAAAACGTCTTATACCAGGTCTAGTACCTTGGTATCATACCTGGTACGTATAGCTTGGTACAAGTCGGTACCACATACTAGTGAACAACAAATAATGGAACACACATCTATAGGTACCGCCCAATTATCACAAGTGCCAATCCTCTTAAGCAAATACAAGAGCCATGGATACGTACTACTCCCTGAATGAAAATCAAACTCGATAGCTTTTGACTAATTATCATACTTACTATATCTATACTAATTAGTATTATGCATGTTATATCACTATATTCATATTTTGAAGTACTTTTCATATGATGCTAATTTTATATTTGTTGGGATCATAGAATGAAATAAAATATTGGTCAAAGTATATTATTGAAGATTATGTAAAAAAATATAGGTTTTATAATTTAGTACAGAGGGAGTATTAGGACTAGAATTTATGTGGTGTTGCATTGCTGCATCGCTACATGAGACCAGCCACGTCACATGCATACATTCAACTAGCAACACAGCCATGCCATGAGTAGATCTGTAGAACACTGCCACATGATGATCGAATTACCGACATGCATGCAATAGTCATTCAGACGATGATTATATATACCTTCCTTCATCGAGATGGCCGGCGGCGGCAAGCCGGCAGCGGCGAGGTACTGTGGCTGTACATGACGGTAATGTATTGTTGCAGGGAAAGGAACAAATGGACGAACTCGATGTGAGCGACATCCGATCGAAGTGGCGGCCGACGCACGCCAATCAGGAAGAGTCGCGCGCATGGCTACACGACCTGTTGGAAGCTTGCGTGTGGGGGTGGGGTGCGCAACTTCGGGGATATATGTACGTGGGAGTAATTCGACGGTGGGCTGTTGCCCCGAGCGAAGCAAAGGACCATGGGATCATGTTCCCATGGTCCTCAATAAATTATTTTCATTCATTAAATTAGATCTATGACAGTAATCCCTCTGTCCTACGAACCGTCTAATCCCTCCCTATATACACACACAACTCCTATGTACGTACATACTTACGCTAGAGATATAGAAAGAAAATAATAGAGTTTGTATATGATCTTTCCCATTTGGTAGTTTACTTTTCTTTCTAGCTCTATGGTTTTTTCCCAAATTAAGCATATACATAGCGACCACTCCTATCGAGGTGGTAAAAGAAGCGACACCACGATGTCATCTCACGTCACCCGTTGTTCCATCCTTTTCTCGTCAATTCCTTAAAAAGTTTTTTTTTATTAACGATGTAAAAGGCAATCCTAGGAGCTGATATAAATTCATCCAGATGCACACTAGGAATACATATATGTACACCCTCTCTATATGATAGATAAATATTCGTCTAAAAAAAGAAAAACATACGTCCATACCAGATACTACTATTCGGAAAAAAAACATATGTTTAATTACATTTTATCCCTTTTACGTTGTTTTCATCCAAAGTGTTGAGAATTAGCACAAATATTTTTGACAAATTCCATCGAATATTAATCCCCACGAACATATATGTGAATTAGATGTATAATACAATATTAAAAAAAATCAAAATCCATATTAACTTGAGGATCATAGTTTGAGCAAATACTTTTTTACATGGTCCTCGCCACTTTTTAGCTATTAGATTTTTAAGTAAACTCGAATGATCAATCCTACTAATTTTTAAATGAGAAAATTATTTATGTACCACTAAAATCAATTAGTATTGATTAACATCATAAACAAATTATATCTACTCTATATAATAAATCGAATCCAGACATAAAAAACTACTTTCGTCACCTCCATCTTCTTTCACTCATTCCCTAAAGGGCGCCAAACATGAATCTCAACTAGCTACGTTGTAGTAACTTGGCAAGAGTATGCATCATTGAGTTGAGATGGTCCGAGTAAGAGGTTACCGTTAAAATAGAGCTCAACTGGCCTACTTACCGATACAATCCTATATAAAATTATGCTCCATGCTTGTCTTGAGGAGCACAAGTATATCAATGTAGGAGCCATGAATCAAGGATCGAAGAAAAAAACCTTAGTGGCTACAGTCGGCTTCACCCAGATGTTAGTGGGGTCGGCTTCACCCAGCTGTAAGTGGGGCTACAGTCTGCTTCACCCGGTTTATTTTTTGGGTACATATGTAATTCTATCTATTAAAAAGACATCCATATTTCAAGATAATGATAATAAATAGTAGTGATAGGTGACGACAAAAAGTTCTTTTCTTGGATATGATAGACATTCTGATTATTTAGTATGTTAAAATTTATGGTTTTTTATAAATAAAATGCTCGCGTATCTGCGCGAGTTTTCTTTTTAGTTATATTAAAATTTAAAATTGTTACATAGTGAGAAAATAATTACTACTAGACCCAATCCAAAAGGTCGATATTACAACTTGGTATTTACTAATTCCGAATTCAAAATTTATTCCGGACCTGAAAAATTGCAGAAATAACTCAACCACTTGCTAACGAACAAGCGCGCTAAAAACACCACCACCATTAGATCATCACAGCCGCCGGAGCAGGAGCGGCGACTGCGCGGGCCGGCGAGCTCCGGAGGACGGCAGCCGGCGACGGCCTCCCGCGCCCCATGGTGAACCCTCGCGTTCCGTCGGGCATCCTCGGCCCCTGCGGCGCGTGGCGGGGGCTCATCATCATCAGGGAGTCCAAATGCCCGGCCGCGGCGGCGGCGGCTTGCGGCGCCCCGCCGGCGGCAGCGTGCGGCCTGCTTCCCCGCCCTCTCCCCCACGACTTCTTACCGTGCTGATCTTCCTGCTGCCAATCGAGGATCCAGCTGGGTCAGGTGTTGGTCCGCAACAGGTAAGAAGGCTCAGCTGGTTGCGTTGCTTACGTGATGGTCAGGCAAGTGGTCCGCCATTGGCGAATCCGACGACGCCTGGGATTGCGGCGAGTGATCGTCGTCGGAGATCATGAGGTGGTCGAAGTCCGGCCGCTTCAATCGCATCGCTGATTTGGGCTACGAACACAAGAATCAAGTGACTATTCCCATTTTGTGGATGCATTGCCTTCTACAACATTAATCTCAAGTGCATAGTCTTATTAAAAAAATTAGTATAAATTTGTAAAATTATAAATTAAGACTAGAGTTTCTTCTATGAGAAATAATTCACAACAAAATAAATAATATTTATAATTTTTAAAATAAAATAAATGTTCAAACGTTATAAAAAAAGTCAACAACGTAATACATTTTAAGATAGGGAGTAGTTTGCATGGGCGTAGAGGAAGAATTTCAGATTAATTACCGATCGACGTAGCACCGGGCGAACGCGGAGCCCCTTTCTCCAGTTGCGCTCGTCGTTGAGCTTATCAACCTGTCAAAACACAGTTACATTCCTTCAGTCCAGAAGAAGAATAGTAGTACTGAAACGATAGTAAATTCAGGGAACTTACTGCCCGATCAGCTTGCTGCGAGGTCTCATACTCTATAAGCGCGTGCAACTTTGGAACCGGGAATCAAACATAATACAAGATCAAGATCAGTGTCAGCAACATGCTCAATACATGATACACATTTTTTTTGCGTATTGCCAAAAAAAAGAAAGAAAAAAAACTGAAAATTAATGTAAGTACCTTGTTACTGATTAGCGCGTCAGACTTGGAAGATCTCGCGGAGCTAGGCTCTTGCGGGTGGCATATCCTGATGTTCTTCACGCTGTTCAATTACGGAACGGAACTCCACACAAGTTAATGGACATGCCACAAGTTACACATCAACAGTTAAACCGATCTGTCGGTCTGACCTTCCTATGATGCCGAAGATCTTCTCGAGGCTGTTCCTGGTTGAATCCTCAGGCAAATTCTCCGCGATGACCATTCGAGACTGTGAAATTAATGGGAGTTAATTGGCCATGGATGGTTCACAATGCTAAACTTGTAATAAGCATCTGAATTTCGCATAAGGAATAAAATCTTGCCGCTGACCTGCAATTCTTCTTTGTGTCGCTCGGTGAATGGCTGTGCTCGTCGCACCTTCTTACCGTCGTCACTCACAACCTCCAGAGAAGGAAATCATGAATCTTAGGATTCAGGCAATAATAAGAAGAGATTACAGTTAGCAACGGCGACTTACGAGCTTTGAGGATGTTCTTAGAGCATTCACTAGCAGTTGGTTGGTCACCCCCATAGCCTTGATTTTCTTCCAGGATGAAATGACAGACATAGGAACTGTCCAGCACATGGAAAGGAACATAAATTTCTGTTAAGATTTTTTCCTCGGCGATCAATTACCTCATGTCATTTTTTTTCTTATAGACAATAGTTGTCTGATCTCAAAATAGTTCATCAGTGTAGTGGTGTGTAAAACTAATGGACGGCACTATGCTTCGGACGCCTGATGAAAAGGCAAAAAAATCGGACGCTCAACTTGTGCCCGTTGTCCCATTGCATGGATGTGCACGCAAACTGTTGTATGCAGATGTACGCATAGGGTGTGTTTAGTTCACGCCAAAATTGAAAGTTTGATTGAAATTGGAACGATGTGACGGAAAAGTTGGAAGCTTGTGTGTGTAGGAAAATTTTGGGGTGTGTTTAGTTCACGCTAAAATTGGAAGTTTGATTGAAATTGCAACGATGTGAAGGAAAAATTGGAAGTTTGTGTGTAGGAAAGTTTTGATGTGATGGAAAAATTGGAAGTTTGAAGAAAAAGTTAGAAACTAAACTAAGCCTTGATGTGATAGAAAAGTTGGAAGTTTAAAGAAAAAGTTGGGAACTAAATCGGGCCATAGTATGAATCTGGCTCTAGTACATGCTTTCAGTAGTGTATCTTTTCACTTTTATTTTCTTTACTTTCTTGTAAATCTTTAAACTGAATTTTTCTCTAAATTATTTATCCGATCTGTAATCTAATTACACCATTGTATCTGTTGCAATTTAATATTTACAACAAGATCTCACATAACTATATTTCTTTAAAAAGAATAAATCTTATAATTATTGAAACATAAAAAATACTTACTGAAACATTCAAAGACAACCATGTGAAACATTTACATATAAGCTAATGAAATATCACAAAATACTTAGTCAAACATCGAACTAGCACCATGTGCAACATTGACAAATAAACTAGTGAAACATCAAAAATACTTAGTAAAACATACAAATAACATTATGTGCAACATTAAAAAAATCCATTGTAATATAGTGCAACATAGTTGAATCCTAGTTGAAACATCTTATTCTGATAAATGAATCACAAAATCTTAACGGTTGAAACATATATATATATTAATTAAAATATAGTCATATGTGATCTTGTTGCAAAGATTTAATTATAACGAATATAATGGTGTAATAAAATCATAAATTGGATCAATAATTTAAAAGAAAAAATCGTTTGAAGTTTGTTAAAATGTGGTTAAGACGAGTAGAGAAAGCAATTCAAACTACGTAAAGTAGGAGAGTGAATTGAAGAACCACGCATGTAACGTAAGAGTAGGAATAATTGCATTCAGAAGCACACATGCACCCATTGCATGCAGCGTCAGATTTATTTGATAAAATCGGTTGACCGATATAGAGTATTATCCAAAACTAATGGTTGTTTTCTATTACCATAGCACTCAGGATCCTTGTTCATGATCTTCATCAAGAAATCGTTTGCGACCAAATTCGTGTCACTGAATTGGTACTCGACCTGATTCCAAGAAACAGAGGGAGGAAACATTGTTGAATTCAAAGAGAGCACTCAAATCAGTAAAATAATAATAAAAAAAGATAACGCTCAATCCAACCCAAAATGGCATCATGTTGAAATGTAAACCTGCTTGATGATCTTCTGTGCAATGTCGGCCGGACTTGCCCCCTTGGGCTGCCCATTGCCGCCGCCGATCTTGGCGTGTCCAAAGTCCGGCAGGAAGAAGGTCGGATCTGGGTCGGCGAAGATGCTCCAGTCCGCGCCGAGCCCAATGCTGCTGCCCGGCAGCTGCAAGAACGGCGAGTAGTAGCCGGCGGCGGCCGCGGCCATCGGGCTGGCGGCCGGCGACCTCGGCACGAACTCGGGAGCGTGGACGTTTAGCCTGAAGGGCGGCGTCGAGCACTCGCCGCTGCTGCTCGCCCCCGCAGCCGTCACCGTCACCGTCACCGGCGCCTTGCCGGAGCTGCCGCGGCTCTCCTGTGGCATGGCGACCGGTTCGATCGATCGGAGTGGCAAGGGGCACAGAGATGTGTCGAGATCCAAAATGTGTGTGTGAATTGGTGTACAAGAGCGCGCCGAGTGTGTTGGTACTCTCACTTTTATGCGCGCGGCGCCTCGGGAGGCTTTGACCACTTCTTCGTGGGCACTTTTGTGAGGTGAGAGTGTTTCTTGGGCAGCTTTTTTCGCGCATGTGTGGGGCTTCCAGCCTTCCATAGTACGTACCGCTACTGTAGGAGCGAGGCCGCTGACCAACGGGGGGCAGAGTTAGAAAGCGGGAAGCACCTAATCTTTCCGTGTACACATTGTATACATCTATATCTATATCTATATCTACTAGCAAAATGTCTGTGTGTTACACTGGGTAATGTCATATTGAATAAATTTTAGCTGAACAATTTTTTAAGCAGTATAGTATGACAATCATAATTACAAATTATTCCACGTGTACGTATATGATATGAACTATGTTCCCGACACGTTATTTTCACGCAAACGATTGTACCATAGGAGGAACAAACGGTGAATGGCTTAGGTTACTTTCACGCAAGAGCATATTGATGAAAATTTGTGTGAATAACAAAAAGAAAATCTGTATTTAAAATAGGTAAGTTTATCATAAAACAAATGATAATCAGGACAGATAAAAAATACTTTTGCATATTTACTCATAGTCTCGTAGTGGTGACGCGTGCTTTCTCAATCTGTAAACTCGTTCAATCAGACACCCGCATAGAACAAATCTTTTGCAAGGAAAAAAATTTCCTAGGTTGGATAGATTAATCTCTATATATAAATAATACAACTTAATAGAAAATAGTCCTATTTTTTTTATTTTTTAATACAATTAAAAAAAGAACTGACATTCGGAATTAAAAAATAAGGAATATTGAAAGATGAGTTTAGAGTCCAAATAGAAATACTATTAGAAAGAATGAAATTCGGAATTTAAAAATAGGAATACTAAGAAGGATCTATATATAGTCCATATAGAACATGAAATGACAATTAACGCGCATAATTTCATAAGAAATAGAAATACTATTAAAAAGAATGAAATTCGAATTTAAAAATAGGAGTACTGGAAGAATAATCTATAGTCCATATATAACATGAAATGACAATTAACGTGCATAATTTCATAAGATATCAATTTATCTCACCATAGGGTAAGAAATGAGGCTAAGTGTCCATATGTCACCAAAATTAATATGAGCATTAAATTGTACTTCATAATACCATTAGGCCAAAATGAATCAAAATTGACATTAGTACCCGAATAATGAAAAAAAAAATCCTAAATCGTAACTTCCGTTGGGCCAAAATGATAAAGGCAATAGCTTAAATATTTTAGCCAAATTTCTCGTTCATTCCATTTAGCTAGACATGATTTTATTTGCATAAGAAAATTTATAATGCAATTTTATGGGATCAAATAATGGCTTAAACTGATTAAATTTATTTATGTAAATATGAAAACATTAATTCGGGCAAAATTTGATCAAAACCTCTTTTAGGCTCGAGAGCTGGCCGCGGCCCAGAAGGCATGCACCGGCCCATTCACGCGTGCGGAAGCGCACCCGGCCAGTGAGAAGAGTGTTGACAGCTGTTAAATACAAAATTTAAGCCATCAATACCTACATAAAACCATAAATATAAAACATCCAACATAGTGGTAGGGTTTATTTCTAACAATTTACACGAGTGTTGGTGTATATTCGTATGCAGGTGACAAACTACCTAAATTGAGAAAAAAAATACATGAAGGAGGAGGAGAATCAAACGCGTATCCGAATATATGGAGTTTTGGACCCAGAGACCCAATTAAACACCTCCAAATAGGCCTTCCATCCATACCAATGAATGAAGGGCCCAAAATGAGTATCCAGGCCGAAAACCGGAGCGAAAGGAGCCGTCCATTACGGAGGCCGCTGGCCCAGGCCCAAGTTCAGTTCGGTAGTGCTCCGCTCTCCCTATGATGGTTATGGCGTTAAAACCGGTAGAAACCGTCATTAGAAGGGACACTTGGCATGAGAGGAGTAAAAAAGTCGGAGGAATTCTGAAGTTGTCGGTAATCCTCTTCATATTTCATTCTGCTCTATTTATTACTTTGATTATAATTGAAATATCTTTTGAGTAATTTAGTTTTGCTCAGTGAGAATTATTTCTTGGTTAGTTCCTATTCAGAGTACGGGATCATCGTTCACTACAATCAACTATAATATGGTGATTGCTTTAGTGAGTTATAAACACTAAAGTAGTAATTAACTGCGTAGACGTGGTGTCTAGGTAGTTGATTTCCAGTGTTTGCTCCGCATCCCACAGTAGGTGTGAGGTGGGTGTAGAGGTGGTGACAGCCCTCAAGACACTGAAGTTCTCCCTGTCCGGGTGCGCAGTAGAGCGATATCTGGGAGCAGCGAGCTGGCTAGTGCCCGAAGTACCTCATTAGAATTAAAGTTAAGCTTTTCGTAGACACTGTTCTTCACCGGTGAAACTCCTCTATCCTTTGCCTATCCATAGCTTCGTGTCCTTGGATGAACCTGAACCGGAGTTAGCACACATATTCCCTGTGGAAAATCGATACCTGAGAATACTCTCGGGTGAAGTACTACATCGGTATATTCCGTGCACTTGCGGATTTATCTGTGATCGTAAGAAATACCAATAAGCATTTCTGGCGCCGTTGCCGGGGAACGGTTGTTGTTTATCTCCGAACCTTGTTCATCCTCGTATCCTTTTTATTTTTCTTTCTTCTACCTTCACCCCTGCTATCCTCGAGAAGCATTCCAGTAAAACATTCTCAATCGATGGAGCCACAATCTATTTTCCAATTGTCTGCTCCTCGGGGTGAAATTTAAGAGCCACCTCCTTCATCGGAGCCTATTTCAACACTTGGCTATGAAATTCGTCACGAATTCATTAGTATGGTTAGGGAGAAATCTTTCTCTGGTTTAGGCCAGGAAAACCCCTACCATCATCTGCGGGAATTCGAGCAGCTTTGCTCGGGCCTTAAGATTCGAGGCATGAAGCAAGAGACTGTTTGGTGGAAATTGTTTCCGTTCTCTCTTCATGAGAGAGCGAAACAATGGTACACATGTACCGTTGGGTGTGTAAACGGTGACAGGGAGAAATTGCAAGACAGGTTCTGCCTCGCATTTTTCCCAATAACCCGTATTACTACTCTTCGTGCAGAAATTCTGAGTTTCCAACAGATAAATAAAGAATCGATTAGTGCAGCCTGGTCCAGATAAACTAATTTAGTTCAGTCTGGCCCAACCCTATCTATACCCGATTACGTGCTATTGCAGCATTTTCATGCGGGTTTAGATAGGGAGTCTGCATTCTACCTTGACATAACTGCTGGAGGGTCATTCATGCACAAAACTCCCACCGAAGGCAAGGAAATTCTCGATCGCATATCAAAAAATACCTCCTTTGTCGGGCAGTGTGTTGAACCCCATCCAGAGGCATTTGTGTCAGGAAGGGAGGACGAAGGGAGTATGCTTTACAAAATGTTGAGATGAGTATGTACTAGCACTATTTTTTTAAAAAAAAATTGAGAATATATGTTTTAATAATTTACGTTTATTTATATGCATGCATGGGAAGAATTAGCATAAATATACCCCTATAGGGGAACGCATAACGGGGACGAGGGGAGCGCTACGTAATCGAGGCTTGGATGTGGGACCGCCAGCTGGGTCGTTATATTTAGTATCTTTACCTATTACTAGTAAGTGTGCACGTGGAATCCACGTTGCTAATAAAATAAATAAAACACAGGACGGCCTTCCTCTGGAGAGCCCCCAACGGCGCGCCACTCCTCTCCTCTCCCCCGCCGCCGTGCCGCACGCCGTTCCTCTCCCCTCTACCGTGCTGCGCGCCGTTCCTCTCCACCACCGAGCTCGTCGTCGCGACTGCCGTGTCTCTCCGCCTCTCCCGCTGCTGCCGCCCCTACTCCGCGCGCCGTTCCTCTCTGCCGCCGAGCTCACCGTCACGCCGGCCGCCTCTCCCGCTGCCGCCGCCCTTGCTCCATTGACCGCCTCACGCCGAGTTTGCTGCCGCGCCTGCTCGAGAGAAGGAGAGAAGAGAAGAGAAAAAGAACAGAAAGGGTGGGGCCTATACCATTTTCTATCACTTACATATGGGGCTCACATATTTATTATATTTTATTTTTACTGACTAGGATGCCACATCAGTGAAACCGAGTGTCTATAGTGCCTTGGTATGTTTTCTTGAATGGTTTTACGTAGTTCAGGGTATACATTTCTTGTATTGCGGTTAGGGGACCTCAGGCAGACTCAGCGTAAAATTGAGGGACGTCAGGTGAACTTATTCCCAAGATGAATGACCTCTGATGTACTTTTTCCCAAAAAATCACTGCACATGGGCCATGCCCGCCTTGAGCCCAAGGCTGTGGTCTAGACTAACGAGCAAAACAGCGAAAACCCCAAGCGCCACCGCTTCACTCCCCGTCGGCGACCAGCCGACTTTCCCCAATGCCGGCGCCGCCCGCCGCTTCCTGGCGCCGGCACGCTGCTGCCGCCGCCGCCTCCTCCTCCACGCGCAAAACCCTCCTCCTCCTCCTCCCCGTCTTCCTCCTCCTCCTCCTCTTCGTCCTCTCCAGGGCTCCTGATCTCACCCTCTCCCCCGCGGCCGCCTCCTCCCGCCACCTCTCCGCCGGGGTTCGCCCGTTCGATTGCTACGCGTCGCAGCAGGCCTCGCCGGTCTTCGCCAGCCTGGTGGAGGGCGTGCCCCACCCCTTCTTCTACTCCCTCGCCGACATGGGGGCTCTTCCCGACCACCCCCACAAGAACATCGCTCGCATCCTCAAGGGCAAGCGCTTCCGCAAGCCCGACATCTCCGAGACAATCCAGCAGCTGCTCGGGGGGAAGGTGGGGATCGGATCCCGTGGTGTGGTGGTCGACGTGGGTGCCAATGTTGGGATGGCGTCGTTCGCCGCGGCCGTGATGGGGTTCCGGGTGGTGGCCTTCGAGCCCGTCTTGGAGAATCTGCAGAGGATTTGCGATGGGGTGTATCTCAACAGGGTGCAGGACCAGGTTGTGGTGTACCATGCCGCGGCTTCTGATCGAGTTGGGAACATCACAATGCATAAGGTAATAGATGAGTACTTTACATTGCTGCCTGTAGTTTTGATGTTCACATGTCTATTATTTTTTTAAAAAAATACTTTGTGTGCAATGGCTGCCTTCTATGTTATAAAATTAACAAGGTTTTTACTGATTGGGAGTTCATTGTACAAAGTTAATCATTAGAGGTGATACCAGAAACAACAACAAAAAAAAGGAAAAAAAAAAACAATGTGTAAGCTAGTATGGCAAGCTCTCATTATGCAAAAAATGAACCTTTGAAGTATTCTTGGGCATGTCTCGAGTTTTATCGGGATCCGGGAACTCATTTTCGTTACTAATGGAAAGAACAGTCTTCTTACAGAGATGCATGAATGAGTAAGTTGCAAACTAGAACAAACCCAGTATATGTTTCCATGCAGATGTGATTGTTTCATTTCTGCATTGTCTCTAAAAGGATCATGAACATTCCTATGACTTTAGTTGGTCCTTTCAATTTCATAGGGAAAGTTTTCAAGATTGTGGTGCTCATCTGCAGAAATGTTTGAAGCTATATATGCATAAGTCTGAAATGTTTCCTTTTCCTTTAACATTTTAACTCACTGTTGGGATTCGGTGTTTATCTATTTTCTATTATTGCTATAATTTCTAAATGATTTAGAAATGCCACAACTTTATACATAAAAGTCATTTTTGTAATAATGTGCTCTAATGTTATCAATGCAACTCATTGACCATTTCATTAGAGACTAACTTTTCTCAAAGAAATACATACCATATTGTATAGTTATTTAATGGTCCAGTTGATAGTTCATTAAATGCATGCTGGATGGCGTAACTAATGCTTTAGATAAATTGCCTTGCATTATACTAAATGCCTTCATTAGCTAGTTATGTTTGAAAATCATTGTGGACAAGGTTCTAATTTCTTGTTTACCTTAGAACTTCAGATTATGTCTATAGAGTTTTTTTACTCCCCCTGATTCGAAATGTAAGTTGTTTTACAATTTTTAGTCACTTTTCATCTCCTTGTTCGCCATTGCTGAATAATTCTTCTTCTCTCACAAGTCACAAATAAATGACACTTCTTTCCCTATAACAAATGAACGGTAGCAAAGTCATTTGTGCTGCTTTCTTAGTTCTCGTGCACAAGTCCAAATTACTTACATTTTCAATCTGAAAGAGTATCGCTGTGAAACAATAATTTCATTGTGCAATCATACATGTGCAAACATATTGGAATCAGTATGTAACTTAAATGATTCAAACATGTTTCATTTTGCCATTATTCTGACTTGTGCTTCCACTGGAAAGTACTCTAATTCTTTGAATTCTCCAATTGCACTCTGTATCCAGATACTCGATATTTTTTTAATTTATTCGACAGCTTATAAATAATTATTTTGGTTACCTAGGTGATTGGACGACTCGACAACAGTGCTATATCTGCAACCGGTGCAAAATTGGCTTTTAAAGCAAATGAAGAAATTGCTGTTGAGGTTGCTACAATACCACTGGATGAAGTCATTCTAGATGCAGAGCGAGTGGTTTTGATCAAAATTGATGTTCAGGGGTGGGAATACCATGTTCTGAGAGGTGCATCAAAGTTGCTTTCAAGGAGGAAAGGTGATGCTCCCTACCTTATATATGAAGAAGATGAACGCCTACTGCAGGCAAGCAACAGTAGTGCACGAGAGATAAGGGCATTTCTTAGTAGTGTTGGTTACAATCACTGTACACGTCATGGCACAGATGCTCACTGCACGAAAAACTAGGCATGTGCTTTTTATTCATGTAAGTTGATGATCATCTATGAACAGAGAAACATTCATATATGATGTGCTGATCTGTAGAAAAGCATTTTCCCTCTCAGGCAGCACTTTCATGAATAAAAATAGTTAGTCAACTTTTAATTCATGGCTTCTTTCTTTTGGGTTAGATTGTTGATGGTCGAGTTTTAGTATCATGTTGATTTCTCTGATGTTATGACGATGTAGCTATGCCTGTTAACTTTTGTTGCATGTTTTGACTCTGTTGTAAATATTAGTGGATGTAGTCAGGCAGTAACGATTTTCTTATTGTGATTATGCTTATATTTTTATCATGTTGAGAATTTATTCCAAATCAGTTATGTTTGGTATATGCCTGATGCCACAATGACCCCCCCCCCCCCCCCCCTCTCCTTTCTTTTCCTTTTTTAGGAGTGCAGTACAGTTGATTGAAAGAAAAGGGGTGACTAGATTCTGTTGTTTCCAATATGGTTTAGCTTGTCTATGCTATTACGGAACTAAACTAATCTTGTATAATTTTTCTATAGTATTTGGTTGGCGTCCAAATTGGACCAAGTTTCAGAGTGAGCAAATGCAAATATACTGCTTGTTCCCTTGCAATCACTGCAGAATTTCACCATCTATCTCAACCCAAGGGATATGCGCAATCTTTGGCCAGTCAATGCCACATTCTTTTCTGAGTCTATCCTTGAGCACTGGGTTACAGAGTGCGACTTCAAGCTTTCTAAGAGACAGTGGCAGCTGCTCGTCTGGGAGTAATTCCAACTCAGGGCAATTCCACAAGATTAATTTATCCAGGGACTCCAGGCTGGACAATGAGGAAGGCAGCGATTGTAGATTGTTGCAGCCACTTATGCAGAGGCTTTGTAGTGATCTTAGATGTAGGAAGACATCCTCATTGTCTGCAGTGAAGGTGGTGATCTCTGAGCAATCTTGGATGTCTAGGTTCTCAATGTGCTCAAGCCTTTCCCTTAAAAGAGGGCATGTGAGTATTCTCATATGATCAACGATAAGGCTTCTAAGTGACTGAAAGCTTGCTACAACTCCATTGGTCACTGGCGAGGAAAATCTGGCAAGTAGCTTGGGGCAATTGAATATGCAGAGAGATGAGACAGTGGTGACAGTGGTCAATTGTGTCATCTTCACATCATGATGGTATGGAACCCAGAACCCTTTTTTTGCAATTGTCAGCTCTGTAAGGCTTGGAGGTAGTGGAGGCAGCTCTTTGAGCTTTTGGCAGTCCTTAATCACAATATTGCGGAGATTCATCATTTCCTGGCCTGTCCATGACCACTCATTTAGTTCTTGCATGTCATCAAGAACTAGCTCCTCTAATGACTGGAAAGCCACATGTGAACTTCTATTGCCATATACCTCTAGGCCTATTTGCCTCACTGTTTTCAAACGCTGCAACCAAATAGTCCTGACAGATGGAAGCTGACCAAGTGGTGGAAGCTGCTCCCAAGCATTGCAACCACTGAGGAAGATGAGCTCAAGATTGATTAGCCATTTGCTTTCAAGCCAACTGGGGGCTTTGACTCCCATCCAACCGATGATGTCCAGCCTCTTCAGATTTGGGTGTGGCTGGAGATACTCTAACACCTCTGCTTCCTTATCTGAGTTTACCAAATCTCGAGCAGGTGCCCACATCAGCTGCAGCATTGTCAGGTTTACTTTCTTACACAACATGGCTTCCTTTGCCTCATCAGGAGCATCAATGTTCTCAAGGTTCCTAATGTGGAGGGATCCACGAAGCTCTTGTAGATAACCAAGCTGAATTATGCTGTTTGTTTCCTCACTGGTGACCTTGAAAATGGGCAATCTCTGAAGGTATCTTAGGCTTCCTATGTCTGTTATAGTGGAAAGAATCTGGTTAGCTGCTGTCAGATGCCGTAAACTGACCAGGTTGTTTATGCTTGAAGGTAACTTTTCAAGCCTGCAGCCTGATAAGTTTAGAACTTGCAAGTGGTAAAGTTTACCCAAGTATTCTGGTAACATGTTGATGGCAGTTGATGAGATATTTAGGTATCGGAGATGCACACACTGTCGTATACTGTCAGGAAGTCTGTCAATCTTGCAAGGTGATAAATCCAAGACACGAAGGCTTTGAAGGTTATCAAGAACTACTTGTGGGATGGAAATGTTGATTGGAGCCACCATTCTGCTCGTAAAGAAAATGAGAGTGCGCAGGTTCATGTATGGTATTGTCTCGTCAAGCATTGAAAGGCTATCTAGATGGATTGATAGATGGCGTACAGAGGATGGGATCCTTCTCTGTTCATCACCTCCTATTCGGAAACATTCTTCGGCTGAAACTGATTTGGCAAGTTTGTGAATAACGGGAGGCATCACATAATAGCTGACAAATTGTTTCTTCTGAATGGCAAAAAATGACCGACTACATAACTCATCAACATATTGCTTCCCAATGTCTTCCATTCTCCTGCAACCATCTGGGTATACATAACCTTGTGCCATCCACATGAGGATCAACTGCTCAGCTTCAAATTCCCAGTCCTTGGGGAAGATACTGCAATATGCAAGGCATTGTTGAAGGTGCACTGGGAGATTCTCATAGCTATGCTGAAAAATTGGCATGATTTCATCCCATACTGCATTTCTCTGTAAGACTTGTTTCCACTCATCTGTGGTGTGTTTACATTTCAGCTGTCTAGCGACCACCTTTGCGGCAAGAGGTAGACCATTAAGTGTCTTAGCAATCTCGCTCCCAATATTCGCCAACTGTGAATTTATAAGATGGTTCGTATCATCAAACACAATCATTTTTATCAGGGACCAGCAATCCTTATCTGACAAGCACTCCAGGTTAGTTATATGGGCTGACTGTAGCATCTCCGCCACCATACTGGATCGGGTGGTCAGAAGTATCTTGCTCCCATTTGCTGCAGCCTTTAGGGGAGAAAGAAGCTTCTGCCAGTTCTCGTGCTCTATCGCCAGAGTTATCTTGTCATTGCTCCAGACATCATCTAAGACAAGCAGAAACCGTTTGGATACGAGCCTTGCTCGCAGTGCCACCTGAAGCCTGTTGAAATTTGTTATGCTGTCATGCCTAAATCGACTGCTGGAAACTGACTCTAGCATCTCTCTTGTGATCCTGGACTCATCAAAGGCATCAGTAACACAGATCCACATTCTCATGTCAAAGTACTGTGCTACTCTAGTGTTGTTGTACACATGCTGTGCTAGAGCAGTCTTGCCAACGCCACCAACTCCAACAATGGAGGCAACCGAGACTGGATTATCACCATCAACCTGAGAGCTTAAAAGAGTACTTACCAACTGTTGGATTTCTGATTCTCGCCCGAAGATTTCCCCATGGGCAACTGAGCTTGTCATGATGCTGTATCTGCTGTGCCTGGGCTTCCTTGGTAGACTGAGTGCTTCACTGACTCCACTAGCAACCTGCTCAAGGCGCTCCAACAGATTTACCATCTGATTCTTGACCCTGGTTGATCTATCCCAGTGTGGCTCTAGACCAGAAGCTTGGGCCCCTTGATTGCGAAACCTGGAATGCATAAAGGCGCTGATTGGGCTACTGTTGCTCTCTGTTGAACTTGATTCCTGCATTTGATGATGGAGGCGGTTGTACTCAAGCTTGTCTAGGAGGTCCTCTGCATGGTACATGACATCCCGGAGCTCCCGCATCCATGGGAGGGAGCCGTAAGACAGTGAAGGTGTTACCTCTGCCCCATGGAGGACAGACTGCGTGCGAAGCAGCGCGACACGAAGTCTGTTCATCTCATGGCTGATGCCGCAGTCGGCCGCCCAGCTCTGAAGCTGGTAGGACAGATACTTGTCAAAAATGACCTGGATGAACCAGCCACCTACAGCTAGGTAACTGGACATGTCCATGCTTCTCTTTTCTTGAACTTTGTTATCTCCGGCAAGGACTAAGAATCCCTTGAATATTTTCCAAACTAGCTAAGTCCATCTTCAATTCTAATGGGAATCCCCTGGACACCTAAGCCAAGTCTTCGGCCAAGTATTTGCAAAGACTTCTTCAACTTGAATGTTGGAGGTTCTGGACATTTTGAAAGGGACACATTTTGAGGACACATTTTGAGCTCTGAATTACAAGGAACATTTCCGAACCTTACTATCTTCCTTTTAGATATGTTGAACATCTGTTTCGACGTGAACTTTCCAAGATTCCCAAAGGTGTAAAATCGCACGCTGAATTTTACAAAGGTGTAAAATCGCACGCTGACTCCTGAGACGTTCCAAGCGTCCCGAAAGTGTATAATCGCACGCTGAATTTTACATTTTTGGTGTCTTGATTTCTTGATGAATTTCGGTCTAATATATTCAGAGAGATTTACAAGTAGGGCAATTTGATGGATATACTGCCAACGTTGCTTTCATATAGTGAAGAAAAGACAAGGTTATATAGAAATTTCTTGTAAACTATATATGGTTTATAGTAGAGAAGTGTGTTTCCGAAAACGAGGGAATAGCTAAGTCTATTGACGGAATCGAAAGGCAAAAACAGTCGTCGTCCATTCGTAATCGTTGGCTGACGAATGAACTCATTGCATTGTTTAATAGCTTGGCTTCGGTGCAACTACATGCGTCAGTTGATTTTTTTTTTCCTTCTAGCATCAATGCCTGTATTGTGATGGAATCGATTCTAAGCACAGCACTTCTAACATCAGTGAAATGCAGCACTAGACTAGCTAGGCTAGGCTAACGCCGTAGGATGATAATGTGGATTTGGGTTTGGTCTGAATCTGGATAGGCTGTTCGACGCAGCTCAATATCGTAATGGATGGATGGGAGAGGAATGCATCGTATGGTAGTTGAATCCATCTTTGAAGCATAAAAACACAAGAATGAGGTGGAACTGGCTTCAAGGAATCTTTGCTTCTCCCTCTATTCCAAACTATAATAACTTCTAGAGTTCAAACTTTATACCAAATATAGCAACACAATACTTGTAAAAGGTGATTTTAACCATTAAATTACCCATAATTTAGCAAGTCCTTTTACCCTAAAGCTTTGAGGTCACAACACAGAGATCTAAATGCCACCACATCATCAACGAGAAACCAACATCAAATCCTTGTTGCCATGAATATAGTTAACAAAGTCACGCGTTCAGAGAAGAAATGCAATAATAGTGTTACATGAGCTGGCGCTAAAATATATACAGATCATGCCACAAGCCAAAGAGGAAACGAAACCAATCACTAGTGTTAGACTCGCAACCCTTTTTAGGTTCACAGCAACAGTCTCGGCAAAACATGTCAACCAAAATCACAACAAACAAGCTCACTTGTTGCCAGACCAGATGATCAAAAACATGATTGTGCCACTCAAGCACTCAAATTAGATCAGCAACATTCATTGGCATTTCATCAATCTGTGTGCTGTAGTACTGCTCAATATCTCTCAGGATACGGATGTCTTCCTTTTTGACAAAATTGATGGCCACACCCTACAATATGAAATGATTATTTAGTCATTAGAATCTGCCCAATCAAACTGTTACCTATATAGTATGCAGTCAGCTAGCTCGTGATAATAATCATTTCTTATGGCTGGATGCATGGAGATGTATTGAAATCATCTTTCCTAAACTTCCAAAAAAAATTGGAATTCAGAGAGTAAATATTGTTTAATCATTTCTAGAATCTAAAGATAATGTGATGAACTGTTGGGTGTTTGGTTGGTAGCCACACTTAGCCACATCTTTGGCAAGGAGGTTTACCAACTTAGCCTAGTGTTTGGCTTGCCACAAAAACATATCCATTAACCCGCATGTCGTATACAGAAACTTTAACAAGTTTTACCTAAATCATGGCCAGCAATTTGTTAACCACACATTGTGTTTGTGTCAACAGTGTGAAGTCAGAATTCCTGTGTTCTAATTTGTCATATACTGACAACAAAAAAATGTCAAAGCATTTGATGGATTATTATTGATGATCATTATCGGTGAATGTGTGATTGTGTTGAGCAAAACCATGGTACATATGTATTAGTACAAATGTATCAGTAGAAAGTGTAGCATGCGTCCAAGCATTTGATCCCATTTGATTGAGTTGTGTAGGTGTAGCATTACCTTGCGACCAAAACGTCCAGAGCGACCAATGCGATGGATGTAAAGTTCACGATTATTTGGAAGATCATAGTTTATGACAAGAGAGACCTGAAAATGAAAATAATAATCAATACTCCACGCGCAGTAAAATCAATAGTCTTCAAACAAAAATCACAACAATCTTGCCTGCTGAACATCCAGGCCTCGAGCCCACACATCTGTCGTAATTAGAACACGGGTTGCACCAGACCTGAATTCACCCATAATGGCATCCCTTTCCTTTTGAGGCATGTCACCATGCATAGCTGATACCGTGAAGTTATTGCTGCGCATTCTTTCTGTAAGCCAATCAACCTGACCAAAGGAAACCAAGGATATAAAAAAAAAAACATCAATAACAACAAGTGGGCATGGTTGGAACACAGTGCAATTCAAAATAGTTAAAAAAAATAGCATGATTGTTAAGTCGTAAAGTTGAGTCGAGGTACCCCTGGACCGACTTGTCAACTTGGTCGACCAGTCCACAACTTGGTCATGCAAAAACAGGGTGCAATTACTACCATTATACTGTACTAAGCAACGTATATAGTATAAACTATGGAGTATGGAGTAGCAAGTAATAAGACAAAGTCAACAAGAAATAATAAAACTAAATTACTAAATATAATAAGCCAATTAGCATGGTGAATTGCTGATTTGCTACGACTCATCACGAATAATCTATGACCGCCTTTACGACTAATCTACAACTAACAACAACTAATCGCACAACTTGCTATTTGGTGGAGCCATGGTTCTCTAGTCTAGTCGACTAGCTTGACCAACTTTACGACAAATCTACGGCTAATCACGACTAGTCGAGCGACTTGATAACAGTGAAACATAGCAAACTAAAAGTATCAACTCGTGCAGGATTGTACAAACAAGTAAAGTTTCAAGAGACATGCTGTAATAGCAACTGCCCAGATGGCAAAAAACAAAAGGTGTTTGAAAGAACTACAAAGGAGCTATGACCATAAGATAGCACAACAATTTGGTGTAGACAAACAACACTGAAAGGATCAAAAAAAAAAAAAGAGCACCATATATTACCTTTCTCTTCGTGTTGCAGAAAATGACAGCTTGGGTGATTGTCAGTGTATCATAAAGATCACAAAGAGTATCAAACTTCCATTCTTCTTTCTCAACAGCAACAAAGAATTGTTTGATGCCCTATAAACATGATATGAAAAAATGAACATATTAAAACCAACAAAGTAAAATACATAATGAAGATCATCAAGTTTGTTTGATAAGCAAAACAAGTAATGATGTTTTACCTCTAGGGTCAATTCATCACGCTTTACAAGGATCCGGACTGGGTCAGTCATGAACTTGCTGGTCATTTCCAAGATCTCATGTGGCAGAGTTGCGGAGATCAAGCAAACCTGTAAAAATGAAAAAGATGTGCTGGTAGATTAGTATTGGGATATGACTACCCAGGATATGCCATCAGTTATTGACATCAAGTTCAAGCACTATGCCATCAGAAAACAAGTCATGCATTACAGAATCCAAACAGATACAAGGCAGCTTAGTCTGTTCGTATGATGACACGTTACAAGAAACCATCAAAACATGGACAGAATAGTGTAACACAAACTGCAATAGAGATGGAAAATGCTCTCCCTATCCCAAAATATGAGGACTTATAAGTTAGGCATGAGTATTAAGGAGAAGTCTAAAATAAAATGAGGGATGGTTGTGATTGGTTTAGACAGGGAAGTAGGTCAAGATATTAAATGCTCCCTCTGTCCCAAAATAAGGACTTTTAGAGTCAGGCGCGGGTATTATGGAGAAGTCTAAAATAAAATGAAGGATGGTTGGAAGGATGGTTGTGATAGGTTGAGACAGGGAAGTAGGTGAAGAAATTAAGTGGAAGATGATTGTGATTGGTTGAGACAAGGTAGTAGGAAAGGTAGCTATATTTTGGGACAATTTTAATGCTAAAGGTAGCTATATTTTGGGACGAGGGAGTAGATGTTAGATGTTATAGACTAGTGAGGAGCTAAATTTAAAAGAATCAATTCACTGAGGGGTGAACATTGAAACACAAGACAAACTATCAGTCTAGTACAGTTTTAATCTGTGATTGACCTGGAGCTCTGGGGGTAGATATCTGTAGACATCATATATCTGATCCTTAAAGCCTCTGCCCAACATCTCATCGGCTTCATCCTGTAATTGAAGAATGTTATTCTCCAACCATTTGATCAAACCAAAAAAAGGTTCCATAAAACAACATGAGAAATAAACTAACCAGAATTAGGAGCTTAATGGCTCTTGTACGCAAGGTCCTTCTCTTGATCATATCACAGACTCTGCCAGGTGTTCCTGACACAACATGCACTCCATGCTCAAGCTTTCTAATATCCTCACCAATACTTTTGCCACCAATACAAGCATGCACTTGGATATTGATGTAATCACCAATGGCCAGCATAACTCTTTCTGTTTGTGCAGCAAGTTCTCTAGTTGGTGAGAGTATCAAGGCCTGAACCCTTTAAAATGAAGAAACAATATTAACTACCAACAGACATAACGATTAATGGAACATAGAAAATGACAGGGAATAATCATTAATAAGTAGAACAAGGCATAGAAAAATTCATATAATTAACATGGATGCCATCACTACATTATACAATACCTAGTTTCTTTTTCTTTCAAAAAATATAAATTCCTAGCCCTAATTATTAGCCGACGAAAGATCAGGAAAGAAAATATTATAGCAATAGCAATATATAAGGTAAAAAACAGATAAAAACATGAG